TAAATTAAACAATGCTAGCAATGGATAAAAATTCAATAGATTAAGATTCTAGTGTTTCCGATTTCACCAAATTAATCATGTTCAAATTCCCATAATTCAAGAAAATTAACATTCAATCCTATACTGACAGCAATTTCTCTAAAGCAATTATTATTCTTTCTCAAGCAGCAATAATATTAATCCAACAAGCAAAATCTACATCTCTGTCAGACTTCTAAACCTGTTGAAAATTATTAAGTGCAAGAAATTCAAAAGAACTGCACAAGCATCATAGATATCTCTATCCTATGAACAACTCATGGTATTTCAATTAAGAGCTTAGTTAATTATCACCTCTCGGTCTCAAATTAAATACAAAATCATGTAATAGTTGGCCAAACAATCACAAGCATTAAGAATAAATTGAAATACTCAGCATATATAGATTAAACATCAATTACTTAAAAATAAGATTGAGAATTTGAACATTCATAATTTGGCTACATCGTAACCCTAGAAAAAGGAATTAGTTCATCTCTAAACAAAATAAATTCCTAAACAAAGTCTTAATCATTGGAAAGGAAAGAAAAGAACTAGTTTGGAGTTGAATTGAAGCGTCTCTGTTACCCGTTTTGACCCTAATACTCCGAAACATATAAATATATGATTCTAGGGCAATTAGAAGACACTTTTAGACTGTGGAATGACGGCTGGCTTTTGAGAGAGTATTCAAGAGAAGAAAAGGATAATTGGGACGGAGAAGAAGAACGGCTCAAATCCGGAGACAGAGACGCTTCAATTCAACTCCAAACTGAGTCGTGTACCAAGTATAGGCCCAATCAGTGAGTGATTTTGAGAACTCTCGGAGCCTCATATCCTTATCACTGGAGTACTACCCAAGCATATCTAGGAAGCGACTGATGTGCTCTTTGGGATTCCCTTTTCTACCACCAAAAAAGGAGAACCTCGGAGTTTCATCTCCTTGCGTTCGAGCCATCTCTTGAATTATTTTCGCGGGGCCAGCAGCTGAAGCCTCAGCTCCATCGGGGGCGCCGACATCATGGTCCGAGACGGACATCTCCGTTCCCTGTGAATCCCTATCGAGGGTAGTCTTCATCTTCTTACTCTTAGTAGGAGCCATTCGGAAGCCCTAGTTTAGCTTCCCCAGTGGAGTCGTAAAATGTTGGCGCTCTTTTGGTGGGGGCCTGTCGACGTGGAAGGTAGGGGACGTGTGGCCCCTTTTGGTTCGTGAGGACTGTGCTCTCATTGACTAACGCAGTCAGAGAACTGCCGTGGGCACTTCCTGGTGTCGATGGTGGCCGAGGGGATGAGATTGGCCCCGACTGGGGTAGGCAAAATTTGGATGACCCCGAGGATGACGGTATCCGAGGGTGACACCCGTTGCGGCTTCGGCTCAGCGACGGTGAAGAATCTCTGATGGGGATCTCCCTGTGAGTATATAGCATGGGAAAGGAGTGTGATCAGTTTATGGAGGAGGTTCCTAAGTGGGTAATAGGGTTATATCTCTCTATTTATGAACACAGTGATTCCGACAGACGTAGTGGGCGAAAGGAGCAAAACAATCAATCTCGAGGTGTTGGGCTATGGTCAAGGGGTTTTGATGTTTCGGGAGCTTTTGTCACCACTTCCAATGGGGAGAACGCTTAGAAACTTGTTCTAGAAGGACTCAACCGGAAGTTATGGAGAATATAATTCTTCGTCAGTCGATCTGATAGAAACCAGAAATCCAGAGGAATTAGAACATAGTACTTTGATATGCCTTTCTTCCCCCTTTCCTTTGTATTGTTCTTTATTTTAGAGGTTTGGACAGCAGTATTTATAGACTAGGATCATGGTAAAGGGGAGGGAAGTTTTCCCGCCAGCCGTTTTGAACTTTGGTTGAAATCACCCCCCCCCCCCCCCCCCCCCCAAAGGTCCCCGTCAATAAGACATTTCCAGTGGGATTCAGGGGCAATTTTCGTTGAGGTCAGAGAATGGCAGCCATACATGGCTCTGTGGCCATTTTGGGTGAGGTCAGAGAGTGGTAGCCACATGGTCAATAGATTGCCCCCTCTCATTCATGTGTATTCTGCCCTTTTATGGTTTTTTGAGGAAGGGGCTGCATTTGACCCCTGGGAAGGCAGAAAGGAGTGAACAAAAAAAGAAAAGAAAGGCGTTAAGACACGTTGTTTTGTATCTTAATGCAAGGTAATGGGCTAATGGGTTTTTTTTCTTTTTTTCTTCTTCTATCTAATTTCCTCCATAACCCACATTATCCTAATTCCCTCATAGACCCAGGACCACCCTAAGTGGGCCAAGGATCTGATTGGGCCGGATAAAATGGGTCCGGTCACATTCCTTGGCCTGCCAAACCACGGCCCACATAGAAGTCCCCGAATGTGGCTTAGGTCCACGTACCATACCTGGAGTCGTATTTATTGGATTTGGGCCAGGCCGATAACTTGTAAAATTTTGGGTATCAACACCCGTTTAGTTCGCTTATTCGAGTTAAGATGTGACTTTATGTGAGAGCTTTTTACTGTAGTAAAAACGTTAGATGTGATTGTTTTTTAGAACTTTTTACTGTAGTAAAACTTGAATTCTAAACTCGAATCGGTGAAATGAATAGGGCACGGTCATGCTTAATTCTTTCACCAAAGTTGGTGTTGCTTTATGATTTTGTTTTTTGGTTACTGTGTTTCTATTGTAATAGTGTAGTTGGTTTTCTCGCTCTCTAGTTTAATTTTTATATTGTCTTTGCCTATGGCATTTCACAACAGTGTTATTAGTGACCTTATGGATATAAATCTCTTACTCTCGATCAATCAGAGCTTTCCATCGATTGCACAAGTGTCAATGAAAGAGCATTTTGAGTGTTCAATTGTTGGTGGGCCCTTTCAAATTCCTTTTGTTGGAACATGGTGTACGTGTTATCTCCCAGTGCGCTTCTTTAGAATTCACTAGTGGAACCGGTCTATAGTCAAAATTTTGTTTTCTAATTGCTTGAGGTCATCTGAGTCAAAATTAGTTTGTGTATTTCTTTGATTTTGGAATAAATTTTACTTTGTTAAAAAAAAGAATTTTTGATTTTATATTTCAGTGTTGATTTTTTTTTCTTTTTAGATTTTGTTTTTCACATCAATTTGTTGTTTACTATTTTATCCCTCTTAAAACCTTCACGTGTATTCTCGTGTTAGATTGAATATGAAAATAAAGAATTTATGAATAGAGAAGCCAAATTGTATATTTTAAAAATAACAAGATAGATAGACCTTTAAAAGTGAATGTCATAAGCTAAAATATTGAGAGTACTACATATCTTTAAAGACCAATTAAATTTTCAGGGAAAAAAAAAAAGAAAAAGGGACCAATTGTAAAAATAAACCATAAGAAATCAAGGATATATAGTTGTTTATAAATACCCAAATACTTAAGGTGGAAACTAATATGAAATGAAAACTCCATGTTTGTGTTTGCTAGAGTATAAAGTTCGAATCCCTCAATTAAAAAAATAAATAAATTGTACTACGTTAGATCATCGTTATTATTCGTTAAATCCCAAGATGGAAAGAATGACCCTCTCTCATTTGTTTCTGGTTTTTCCGTTTTCCTTTTTCGTTTTTTTTTTAAAGGGTTTTGCAAGTGATTTACCTAGTTTTGAAATATGCCACGTTTTCAACGAGGGCTACGGCCTAAAGGAGAAAATGATCATCATTCAATCTCCATTTCACACACACACACAAAAGAAAAGGGGGTAAAGAAGGAGAGACGGATAATTATCATTCAAAAGTTCAAAATCAGAAATAACCTATGTACACGTCAAATTTTCTATTTACTAAAAGCCACTAAAAATTGAAGTCAACTGTTGCGGCCACGAGGATAACGTGTAGTACCTATTATCATTAATTCTAGGCTGTTTATAAATCCGTAAAACTCCAATTCAATCTGTTTGTATTAAATGTTTTTTTCGGCTTATGGGTGCGTTTGGTTACTGAATTTGTGCTATGATTTGAAACATAGTTCGTAGTTTATTAAAATATTTTCTCACATAAAAAATATACGTAAATCAAAAATAGTTCTGAATCATGATTCTGAATTTATGAATCAAATGTCCACTTAATGTCTGGCCCAATGTTTTCGGATAGGGTGTAGGTTGGACTATAATGGCCTATACACCTCAACCTAACATGCGCTCTAATTTGCCCAATCTAATATCTAATCTCAGGTAGGTAACTCATTTCTACTCTCTAATTTCTTCACGTTTGAATTAAGTCTCTATGTTTGCTTTATGTTAAGACTAATTTATGAGTGTAGACTAATTTATGTTTGCTTTATGTTTGATGTTGGATGGACTACTTTGCTTCATGTTTGATGTTGAATTGAACTTTGAATTTCTGTCTATTTAAATGTTAGAGGTATTATTTTTATTTGATGATGAACTTTGAATGTTGGATTGAACTTTGAGTCTTTGATTCTTTGAATGTTGAAACCGACTACCCAACCCACCCCGCACCGCCCCAACTCAACCCAAACATCATTGGATTGTGAAATTTTTCTAACATTGTTGGGGCCAAATATTTACAACCCGCACCCTTTGAGGCGAGGAAAGAAAAAATCTTACCCCGCACCAACCCAACCCATGAACAGCCCTAATTAGTTCATTACATATCTACATATAAAACTAATTATTCGAGCTAAAAATAGAACTCCAAGCACATAGAAAAGGAACATGTAATATTAATAACATTTGACCTTATATCATATAATAAGCTATAAAAATTTACCTTATATAAAGATCTTTTTTTATAAGAAAAAATACATTGATGAAATAATCAATTACAAAATTTACCTTACATATCGATCATTGTGAATGTAATTATTAATCCCCAAATTTTATTACAGATTCACTTTAATTAGAAGCATCATATTTTTACATTTTTATGAATCTGATATATAGATTCTGGCGAATGAAAGTTTATGTTCCTTAGTCGTAAAACAAAAGTACATGATCATTGTAAAGGTTACCGAAGCTGTCTGGATAGCAAATACACAGCAATACAAGGGGAATTATTCCATACTTTAGAGTGCAGCCTAAGTATCTCTTTAGCCTTGTCCTTCAAAAACATTGCGCAGTCTGCTTGCATTACCATGCAAAGCTTCGTGACTGCTCCCAATTTCAGCATCTCCACAAGAACTTCGCTTTTCGCGGAGAATTTCGCGATCAGAGACAGCACGTGGATCGCCCTGTCGTCGGTCGCGACGGAAACCCTAAGAATCCTCTTCGACACCATGGCTATGCCGCCGGCGTGTTGGAGGAACTGGGCCCTCCCGTCGGCACACGTACATAGATGAGCCAAAAGGGTGAAGATCATCTCGGTGGTGTGCCTATCGGGTTTCGATGTCAGCTCGAGCTCGATGAGATCGAAAACCGCCCCTGATTCGATGATCTTTATTCGGTTTCTTCCCCAAGGGCAGGCTTCGATTAGAATCTGCAGAGCGGATTTAATGGCTTGTTGTGAAAGTGATGAACTCTCTCTTAAAATTTTCGTTATGTTCATGAATAGTTCGAGCCTTAACCGTTCCAACCGACTCGAATTCGACGCTTCAATCACGAGTTTTAGTACTTTCATCGCTTCCGATTTCAGATCAACATCATTGTCCATCCTCGGAAACCCTAAAATGCACGCCAAGGATTCGAAAAATTCATTGTTTTCGCTTACAAGAGTCTTAACTTCTTCATTATTAGTACTAGGGTCAACCCAAACAAGATGAAGAATTCTCAGAGCTTCTTCAGCGCCAACTATCTTTCCTTCCTTGAAACATCGTACGACGAAACAAATCATGGCTTGCATGACTCCTCCTTCGGCCATGCACCTTCTGTTCCTCTCGCTCTCCGCCGCGAGCCCTTCAATTTTCTTCAACGTCGTGATCTGCTGCAAACCACCATCAATATTACGGCAGTTATCGGAAACCCTAAGGTCCCTCAAGAGCTTGAGAACGTGTCTCTTGTCGAGAGGCGGCTTCGGGGTCGGAATTCGGTCGATTCCTTTGGCGATGCACCACGCTTGGATTAGCCGCCGGAGGGTGTGGTTCGGCGTCAAGTCGGAGTCTCTCGGCAAAGGCTGCATCGTCACCGGACAAGTGATCGTCGTTGCGTCGCCCGCCGCCGCCGTCGAAAGCCACTTCTCTATGCTTTCCCTGTCGTAGGTAATGCCGGTCACGGCGGTGACCGGATCGTTCATGATCTGAAGGGATATAGGACACAGGAAGTACTTACGCACTTCATCAATTTCACTCATTTTACAAGACTAAAAAGAAAAGTTTATTGTTTATGGGGTTATAATTAGTACAGACAAAATGTTCTGAAAGATGAAAGAAAACTGGAAGAAGACATATATTGATCAAGTGATTAAGGAGAGATTCTTGTTATTGCTTTTTTTGGTAAGAGAAACTGGGTTATAAGTATTAAATGGACAAAGGTGAAAGAAAGAAGGGAAGAAAATTTCTAGATGAACGAATTATTCATACAAAAAATAATATAATAATATTGTTCAAACGGCGGTTTTACTTTTTTTGTTTTTATTATACCAGTCCAAGTTTTAATCTGCTGCTTGAAGTTTGATTCGGTGGTCATTTCAAATTAGGTCTAGTTTTTTTTCATAAATTTAAATTTTTAATTTAAGTTAAAATGTGATATTTTTTAAAAAAATTTAATTGTAACAGAAAAAATTAAATGTGATATTTTTTAAAAAAAAATTAAATTGTATAAATATAAAATTAAAAATTTAAATCGGTAAAATGAACGGAGATATTAATTTATAAAAATCGGATGGTTTGAATTTGCCTTTTGATTGTCAACGATGCCACGTGGCTCACATTCCTTGTCCATAAAGTGGCGGCCTTAAACAGCTAAAGAGGAAGATCAACAGTGAAGTGAGAATGGGACCCAATATATATTATTTTGTGATTTGGAATGCGTCAGAATTTCGAAAGGGAAAAATATGACTTGTTCTGGAAAATTTGTGAGGGCAGGACTTTTCTGTGTTTGTATGCAGAGAAAGTAACTCAAAACATTTATTTGTAGAATCTTTCTTCATTTGATCTTATTAACCATAAGTATCGTTAGATCTAATTAAAATCACATTAAATTAAAAAATTTACAGAATAAATAATTTTTTATACAAAATTAACGGTTAAAAACATAGTCATTTTAAAAGTTTAATTTTTAAGTGCCTAGTAGAAAAATCTCTTTATTTATGCAAAGCTTACATTATTTGAACACTTTTTTTTTCTAATTACTGATATTTATAAAATAAAAAAAATAAACATAGTTGAAAAACAGTAATGCTTACCGATGATAATAAAAAAAAGACAGGTCATACCGTAAAAATTTTCTTATTTAAAATGAAAAAATAAAAGGAAAGAAAAACCAAATGGAGAGTCCATCTCTTGGACCTGTATATTTAATTTTTGTGTAATTTTTAATGTAATAATGTTCCAACTTGTTTGTGCATATGAATTGACCAAATAATGTATGGGAAAGTACTCGAACCTCTAATTAATGGCCGACTTGATTTCATTTAATAACTAGTTCACCAGATGAATTTCAGTCAAACATTCAAACTTTATAACCAGAAAAATAAAAGGCGCTCAGATGTGGCTGTGATGACATATAATATAGTGTTTGCCTACCAAGCTGTATATATCTCGCGATCGTTTTCCAAGTGAAGATAAGAATCGTTCAAAGATATACTCAATCAAACAAGAAGTTCAAAAGTCAATTTGATAACTTATCCATAACATGTAATTAATCATTAGGCATCTAGTTAATTGCAGTAGTTCGTCTAAAAATTGGTTGTTCAGAAATGTGTACGTATAAACGTACACGTATTATATACATACACACACATCTATAAATATATATATATATATCGATTTATGTTCCAAAAAAAAATTATGCCCGTTCATGCATCTGAAAACCTAACAGATGGGAAGAGGAAAGTCTGGCTTGAGTATTTATATTATCAAAACTAGCGTTATATCGCTATAAACGACGACAAATGTCATTGTTAAAAATTAAAAAAAAAATTTGTCACTACAAATATTTTAAATTACTAGGTCATACTAATTAAGCATGGTTGCTATACTAATCATTTTATATTTTTAACTAAAATAACTAATCATTTAGCTGTTTTTTTTTTTAGCTTTTCTCCACTCCAATCATTAATTAAATGGTTAGCTATTCTGAAAATTTTATTTTACACTAACTAAATATAACTAGTAATAAGAGAGGGCAAGCCATTTGATTTTTTGTATCATTTTATTCTTTCAAACCATAATAAATGTAAATGTTCTTTTTTAAATTCAATAAAGTTATTTATGATTTGAATGAATACTCATAAGTTGCTAGCGAAAATAACTTTCTAATTATTTTAGTTAAAATTTAACTAAAATCTAGAGAGTTTTCATAAAGTACTCTAAAAGGATTTTGGGATAAAATTTCCTCACCACTTAAAGTTAAGCTTTTTGGCAATGCTAAAAGCCTATGCTAAAAAGTAATATCATACATTATAAGGATTTAAATTGTGTGTTTTTTATTAATTAAAAACTTAATTAATTTGCAACCATCCAACATAACCACATCATCATCAATATTTTAAAATAAAAAATAAATTAACAGAATATATATCATCATCATCTCCATCATATAACCATCAATACCACATATTCATTATCGTCATAGTTACTATCATATAACTGAAATATATTAAATTATTTTAAGCTAACGTATGAACAAACTTTATTAAATTAATAAATAAATAAATTTAGATAGCAAACAAATTTCTACACCGAGCATTATCATATGCACAGTCACCATCATATAATTAACATCATTACATAATCAAAATACACTAAATTAATTCAAACTATTACGTAAAATAAAACTAAATATCAATAAAATACTAAACAAAAAACCTTTAAAAATATTAGTGGATTGCGTCTTTTTTTCTTGCAATGAACAACCTTTCAATAATGACAAATCATTGCTAATTCGTGACTTTCATCAAAATGTTTCTGTTGAAAGCGTCTTTTTTTGTACCTTAAAAATATTTATTAATTAATTTTAAAAAATTAACGCATTAAAGTACATATTTATAATATATATCTAGAGAGAAACGTCAAGTACACAAGTATTATAAATAATAAAAGAGAAGAAAAAAACCGTTGGATAAAAAATATTGCTATGCAGTTTCGGGGAGTTCATGGCTGGCATGATGGCATCTAATACGTGTGGGCCATTCTTATATTACTTGAGCCTCCGTTCATTTCGCCGATTCGAGTTTTGTTACAGTAAAAAGCTCTCAGAAATAGTCACATCTAACTTTTTTGCTACAGTAAAAAGCTCACACACAAAATCACATCTCAACTCGAATTATAAACTCGAATCAGTGAAGTGAATGGGCCCGTTTTAAGAGTTGTTTGAAAAATATACTTAAATTATGATTTTTTATTTTGATATTTGAAATTTAAATTTTTTATAAGAAAAAAATACTGTAAAAAAATTAATAATTTCAGTTTGAGTACATGACATTTGAAATTTAAATTTTTTTCTCTGCAAAGTCGCAAAACTCTAGTATTAGTGATCAAGTCGTGAATGGGTGTGTAAATACATGTTTCATGATAAATTGTTCAAGAAACGTTGTACTAGTTAATATATGAACAAGGAATAACACCAACAATTAAAGTTTTTTTCTAAGATAAAATTGTTGAATCTCTGCTGTTTGTAATTTTCATTTAGTCAGACAACAATTATATGAAATGTGAATATTTCCTCTCACTTAAATGATTGATAATTGAATCACGTGTATTTTGAAATTAATAACTCAGCAGCCAGAAATTAAGTCGGAGATTGGCAATAGTAGTAACACAATTCAAACATTTCCTGGTTTTTTTTTCAATGTTTGTGGTTATACGAAATAACCACAAACATTAAAAAAACTGAATTTAGTTTTTAATGTTTTTGTAATGTTGCAAACTAAATTACAATCACAATCTAGTGGTAAACGTACTGATGTAATTACACAAATTTGCACACTGTACACCAAGCAATAGCTAATTATTGTCTCCGAGACTAGCACAATTTGAAGTACTAAAACTAAATTCAGAGCAAACATTAATACCACGTAATTTTATGAATTTTGCTATATGTATATACACACAAGATACATATATATAATACTTGTTCACACATATATTGAAGTGTAAGAGACCTTGGAGACAGCTAAAGCTGCTTTAGGGGCCACACTCTCCTGCCAAATGTGTGAAAGAGAAGAAAGTGACCATGTCATTAAATTGTCCAACCATGGAGGAAAATGGAGAGTTCACAACTGTAGCCAGCTCCAAGTTACACATGAGTAAATAATTCAAACAAAAAAAAAAGGATTTTTTTTTTTTAAGAATACTAATATTAGCGTTGTCCAACATTACAACTAACAAAAAATAGATCTCATATGTACAATATCTGTTAAGCTCATATTGTGCGATCTATCTTAAACATCATTGATATCCATAAGTATGTACAATATCTGTTAAATTGACGTAAAGTATGTCTAATATTTTATCCTTTGTGGTTCTTGATGCGTAAAATTAATTTTGTATAATAAATTTCCGCAAGCGTACGGTGTCAAGTTTTGAGTATAAGGTGAGTGAATATCGTCTCCACAAGGATTAGGTTTAGAATTGCCGTTAAATACTACGATTATTATAACTTAATTTTATCTAGGCAACCTAATAAAATGACAATTAAGAAAATAAAACAAAATAAATATGAAAATAAGAAAATAAAGTATCTATACACAAATGGTCTAGGGACTTGATTTTGCTTTATTATTCCTATGTTCATTCTATTATGTAATCGCTAATCAATTCCATTCAATTCATTAATCAATGCTCTAATGTCATCTCGCAACCTCTCCCGAGTGCCTCACAAGAAATTGTATTTAAATACCCAAAACAATATCCCTATTCGAAATGAACATTTAAACACAAATTAAGCTTCGCCTTTAGAATTAGAAAATAGGAATATTGATCGCCTCCCAGCCTCACAACGACCTAAATCCTAATTTGATTATCTAAGCGTTGATCTCCTCCCGGTCTCACAACAACTTAGACTATGCTTCTCAAATCTAGATAAAGAATTCAATCTCTCCCGAGCATCAAATTCGCAATCTAAAAATCATCTAACTCATTGGCCAAATAAATTAAAAGCATTAAGCATAGAGAAACATAAATGAATTGAAAATTAAATTAAATTAACAATCAACAAAATATTCAAAATATAGTTCAAATAAAACTACATCAAGTCCTAGATTTAATGTCTAGCTCAACATGAAAAAATAGAT